GCTCAAAAATGTATATACTGACTGAGTACGGGTATAAGTAGAGTCGCGTCCCCAGAAGCGACTCACACGTTCCTTCTCGTTGATTCTAGAGCTGAATGTTGGTTAAGTAAGGAAGGATTGGCGCCCAAATTGGTGGGGAAAAGCAATTGGAGAACATTTAAATCGTAGTAAAATTTAAATTCTACCTATTGTACATAGTGTAATGATAGGAAATGTAATGGAAATTTTAGCCCAAGGATTCGATGTAACCATGGATGCTGACATATTTGAATTTTATAAAATCAAAACTATTAATGATTTAACTGAAGTGCAAAAGAAATGATATGAGCTGCTTTTAAACAACGATAGCGAGTTGAGTGGTAATGATAGGACCAAGATCATTGACCTCCTAATAGAGTAGAGTATGCAGATATTTTCATAGACGGTATTCCTCTTAGTCGTGTTACAACTGGAGAGTTGCAAATCCGATTGATTGATATAAACAAAACGGTACAGCGGCGTCCGTATAGATTGAGTGTAGAAGAAAAGGAAGTAGTGCGTGCTAAAATAAAACAAATTCTCGATTGCAAGGTTATACGACAGAGTTGCTCTCCATTTGCTAGCCCATTAGCAAAGAAAAAGAACGGTACTGACCGGCATTGATTTGATGCGAATACCATCGCTGACAAATATCCGTTGCCGTTAATATCGGACCAAATTGATAGGCTGAGTGAAAAAAGATACTTTTCTAGTTTAGATAAGGCGAGTGGATTCTACCAGATACCAGTACATCCCGATTCGATCGAGCGTGCAGCGTTCGTAACCCCAGAGGGACAATATGATTATTTGTCTATGCCATTTGGATTGAAGAATGCATCCTCCGTTTTCCAACGTTCGATAACACGGGCATTAGGGGAGTTGGCTTATTCATGTGCCCTTGTCTACATTGACGATGTGTTGATAGTTGCAGGTACGAAATAAGAGCATATGAAAGGCTTCGCATCGTCATTGACAGACTCATTAAAGCCGGGTTCTCTTTCAATATCTCAAAGTTCTCTTTTCTTAAAAGGCGTGTGGAATATTTTGGTTATATAGTGGAAGGTAATGAAATCAGACCCGTTTCTAGAATGATTTACGAAAATGACAAATGACAAAACTTGACTCAGTCAATAGGTTAGGTTAGGTTGTCCCGGACGGAGCCACGCATAGGCCAATATGGCCCTTAGTTGTCCGGATCGGTGCGTATGGACCTTCTGAGTGTTTTACGCGGTTTCGAAATCTATGAGGATCGAGGAGAATTTTGCAAAGGCAAGGAGTTCCGCTGGCGTCCTCTTGGATGCATCTTCCAGCGATGCCAGTACCAGGCTGCCAAGATATTTGTTTCTTGCCCTTGAGAGGGTCGGGCATTGGCAGATTAGATGTTCCACGGTTTCGATAGCCCCAGATTCATCACATTTCCTGCACTTGCCACTGTTGGTGATTCCTGCATGGTGATGACTGCATGTGCTGCAGCCAGGCAATGACCTGTGAGTATACCCATTAGCATCTTACAGTCCTTCCGTGATAGGTGCAGTAGATAGTGGCTGAGTTTACCACTGCTCTCCTTGCACATTGTTTTCGTGATCTTGCAGTTGGTGCTCCTCCACCTGCTACTGGCCTGTATGTGTGCCCGCCTCTCTAGATCGCTTTGAAGCGTTCTGTGGGAGACAGGCACGTTCTCAGTCCTGTCGTTTGCCAGCCTGACGCCTTCCTTAGCCAGTACGTCTGCTGTCTCGTTGCCTTCGATGCACTGACTTTGTCGTGCTTAGGAAATCTAATGCCTCCCTGCTTGCCAGTACATTTTTGGAACTGACCGCTGACGACTGCATGAATCTTATCGCCGCCTGGCTGTCCACGAACAGGTTGACCACATTATGTGGGCGTTCCGTACATCGAGCAACCTCCGCCGCTTTCCGTATGGCAAAGACTTCTGCCTGGAATATGCTGCATTGGTCCGGTAGCTTATAGGACAGCCTTATTTCAGGGTCTGTACAGTATATGCCCGCACCTCTCCTCCCTCCATCTTGGAGCCATCCGTGTATATGTTTAGGTGTTCGTTCTGATCCAAACTTTCTTTCCAGTCGTCGGGTCCCATGTGTATCGCTGTTTTGACGTCCAGGCAAGTTCGCGGGATCATGTAGTCAGATATACTGATCATGTCTCGGCCTATTGAACTGTGCCCGAATCCTTGCAGCGATATATTGCCTGATGCGACTAGGCGTTCTGTAGCCTGCCACCACACTAAGACTCCATACAGCAGAGTCGGTCGCACTACCGAAATGTAGATCCAGAGCATTAATGCAGGTGATAGGCCCCATGTGCTGCTAAGAATCTTCTTGGATGCGTATAGCGCAATGGTGGCCTTCTTCACCCTTTCCAATACATTGGGTCTCCATGTCAGCTTGCTGGCCAGTACTATGCCGAGGTATTTGATGTGTGTTTTTGGGGTAAGCCTGGTTCTGTCGATTTTCGGGGGGATCCATGCCGGTACCTTGTACCTCTTGGTGTAGAGGTCTGTCTTGTCCGCGTTGATACTGAGTCCTACTTCTCCCGCCCACTCACATTTCTCCATGAGTGTTGATTCCATTATAGAGCTGAGACTCGATGGGCATACTCCCGTAATAATTATGCTTATGTCGTCCGCATAAGCTGTTATTTTTGGGGCTCTCCTCTCGAATCTCTTTATTAGGTCGTCGATTACCAGATTCTATAGGAGGGGCGACAGGACCCATCCCTGAGGTGTGTCTCTGTGTGCCCCTTTCACCATGGAAGCGGTGCCCCACTCTGACTACACCCGTCTACAACTTAGAAGGTTCTTTATCCAGAGGTTGATTGCGGGATGTGTGTTGATCGCTTCTAGGCAGTCCATTATCGCGCTCGTATTCACGTTGTTGAATGCTCCAGATATGTTTACGAACACTCCTAGAGCATACTTCTTATTTTGTAGGGCATTTTCGATGGTGGCTACTAGCGAGTGCAGTGCCGTCTCTACCGATTTCCCTTTGGTGTAGGCATGCTGGTTGGTTGACATCAGTCTCCCTACATCATTCCTGATGTGTAGATCCAGCAGCTTTTCTAGTGTTTTGAGTAGAAAGGATGTAAGGCTTATCGGTCTATAATCCTTGGGGCTCATATGGCTTCACTTTCCTGCCTTTGGAAGGAAGACAATCCTCGAGGTCCTCCATTGGATAGGGATATAGCCTGTGCTCAGGCAAGCTAAGTATATTGCAGAGAGCCATGGGGTGATCACGTCTTTGGTCACCTGTAGCATGGCTGGGAATATACCGTCTAGTCCAGGTGCTTTTGTACCCGCAAAGGAGTCTATAGCCCAGTGGATTTTCTTAGACGATATGAGACCTGTTGGGGGATGCACTTCCTCAGTTACTAGGTCCTGATGCGTTGTAGCGTCAGCAACCTCGGTGCATCCTGGGAAGTGAGCTTCCATTAGTGCTGTTAGGGCTTCTTCACTGCCCTCAGTCCACTGTCCATCATTTCGTTTCAGCTGACTCTGTATGGCGGGTTGCTTTGATGGCAACTTCCGGAGTCTGGCCGTTTCTGGGACTTTCTCGATATTGGAGCAGAAGTTCCTCCACGAGTTTCTTTGTGCCTTGCGTATTTCCTTCTTGTACGCCCTGAGTAGGGTTTTGTATTCCTCATTGATTATCTCGTCGTTCGACAGTTTGGCGATTTTAAAGAATTCTTTGAGGTTAATTCTTTGAAGCGATAAGTCCCGCATCCACCAGAGTGGTCTGGTTCTCTTTTTCGTTCTCGAGGGTGGGCATGCTGCGTGATACGCATCCAGTAGCTCCTTGGAGAGGGTTTATAGGGACGTTTCTATTTCTTCCGGGGATTTCACTGTACCCGGACGAGTCGCGAGCTTCGAAGTAACTGTCTTTTTAAACTTTTCCCAGTTTGTGTTACGGGGGTTTCTATAGACAGTTATCTTCGGAGAGTGTTTAAATTCGCACTTAAACTGAATGTACTTGTGGTCTGAGAAGGATGGTCTTTCAAGGACTCTCCAGCCAGATACCAAAGTACCGTCTCCCGTTACGAGTGTTAGATCTAGTACGTTAGACGAGGTGGGGCCTACGAAGGTGTGCTCCTCCCCCACGTTTGCTACATCTAGAGGGGGGGATAGTATAAAGTCTAGAAGTGACTCACCTCTTTCGTTGATATCGGGGCTTCCCCACACGCTATGGTGGGCATTGGCGTCCGTACCAACTAGAAGTTGCTGGTTTTTCGGACTGGCTTCCGCCACCAGACTCCTTAGCTCCTCCGGTGGAGCTGGCCTGTCGTGTGCCATGTAGCAGGATGCTACCATAAGACGCTTGTCCTCGCTTTCAAGCATCACCGCAGCCAGGTCATCAGTGCTGTAATGAGACATAAGATAAGCATGGATGCCCTTTCGTACGAGTACGGCGGTTCTGGTCCTGCTTACTTTAGTCCGGCCACAGCATTGCCGGAGGCAAGCCATGGCTCCTGGACCAAAGCTATGTCGATGGGCCCTTGCTCCAAGGCAATGAGGAGCTCCGCCGACGCGACCTTGCTTTTATGCAAGTTGACTTTTATAGTCAGGTCACCGTCCTCGTCCTCTTCGGCATCAGATTCGTCCAGCGCAAGATCCTGGGCGGTCTCCACGATGGACTCCAGACCTAGGTCCTTCTCCACCTCGCCTGCCTGCAGGGTGTGCGCGTCCTTGTCTTCGGGGTGGCGCTTTTTGAGACGTAGGTAGACACTGCCTACGCCTCATGCCATCTTCCCGAATCTCGGGTAGAGGATATCCTCAGCCTCCTTATTGATCTGGAGGATCATGTGATGGCCCCCCTCATTGGGTAATGGGCTACCAGCATGCAAGATTTTCCAGTCAGCCGTTGGCACCTCTGTATTCTGCCTCTGGAGGAGTTTCAGTGCTCGGTCCCCCTGGACTGCAATGGGGAAGAGCACCTTCGCCTTTGGGATGGACGGGATCATCTCCCTGTCCACTACCCCCCCTTGGCCCTCTTCCACAGAGCTTCCAATTGGGGCACCACTTGCACCAGCCACTTCCTCGTCGGGTAATCATTACATTTGAGGATCTTCACCCCGTTCAGCCATCCCGCACCGTCGAAGGTGGGCATGGAAGCGTTCGGCGCGTCCTCCATTCGCGCGAAAAGGGATTCTACCAGTTGGGCGTGGACCTGTTTCCACTGCGCCGCCGTCATCTTCCCATTTTCGTCGCTGCGGTCGATCAGGGCCACTATGAGGTGTCTCTTGGACACGTCGCTCAACTTGTCCTTCTGCTTGGGCTTCTTCGTCTTCGTAGGTTAAGGGATAACCACCTTGGGCCCGCGTTGCCGCTTGCCCGCCGGAGTGTCCTTGACACTCTCGATCGAGCGTTGCCTTGTGGTGGCCATCATCTCCTCAACCTTATTGGCGAAGTCGCCCTTCGTCGCCTTCATCTGAGGCAGCTGCGCGTAGTGCAGACGCCCCTCTTCTACCTTTTGCTCAGCCCAGGCTAGGTTGGACTTCTCCTCTTGGGAGATGTCCTCTTGTAGCCGGCTTCGGATTTTAAGGGCCGCCTTGTATTGGGCCTTAGCCTTCAGCCCCTCTCTAGAACGCTTCTACCCTTCCTTACGCAGGGAGCTGGAACCTGGTTCAGGCGAGCGGAGAAGGCTCTCTTCTTCCGTTCTGCTTACGCTGAGCACGCTCTCCAGGTCCGAGTCCGTTTCGACCACGGCACCCATGCTGCTCAGCTTGCAGTAAGGCGTTTTGGTGGCAGTAGCTTTGAAACTAATATGACCTGCTCCCGCCATATTAGAGTTGTGACCGATGGCGACACGCAGAGAGGATTGCTCCTGCCCGTACCCGCCGATGGTAGCAGTCATGCTTTCCACCGACGTTTGGACTGACATCCTAGTCCCTGTTCCTTATTCCGCTCCATGTGGTTAATATTTATCGGCGGACCACCCCCTAGCGTTTTATGCCTGACTGCCAGGCACCTCCAGCCATGGCCATGGTTTAGTTCCCCCAATTTTATATCGGGAAGACCTGGACCTGGCCTTAGCTAGACACTACATTACCTCGGACAGGGCAAGCAGCAATGCATTACCCGATTCGGGATAATGCAGTGCCAATTGCCCGGCCGGCACCCTCTGGGAGGGTTCAGCTGGAGGTTTTTCGCCTAGCCGACTCAGTCATCAAAACGGAAACAAAACATGTAAACTTAGCAGAAATTACCGATAGTTGGCGGGTTGGTGAACAGCAGCGCGATTCTGAAACTTAAGAAATATTCAATAAGCTCTAGAAAAATGGTTGGGGGAAGACACTACACAAAGACACTATGGGTATAACGTGTTCGAGAATAAGTAGTATATGAAAAAATTTGTTGAGAACAGCACTACTTATAAGTTGTCGAAATATCAGCAGGGAAAGCTCAAATAGAACTGCATCTGACTCCCAAAGTGGACAAAGTGAGAAAATGGCTAAAGGAAGGATGCTTGGTTCAGCTTTTAATGTGGACTAAAATCGAGATAATGAGATCGAGATAATGAAATCGAGATAACGAAGAATCGAATATTTCAGCAAAACAGTAAAATAGAGTAGAGTAGTGTAGAGACACACGAGGTCGTGTGAATATCAGAATTGGCCGTGTCGTAGATTGAATAAGTAATAAATAAAATGGTTTATTGAATAAAGAAGAATGAGAACAGATCAAGGGAAGTTTTGGTGTGTGTTGGTCAGATCGGTTATATGGCAGCTACATATATGAAATAGTACTCCAAAGCATATGAAACTTGGTAGATGGTCTTGTGACCGTAAAATTTGTATACAAACCAGTTTTTACTTCCATATCTTTATAAAGAAAAAGTTGAGGCAAGTCGGCCAGATCGGTTATATGGCAGCTATATGAAATAGTGCTTTAAATCATTTGAAACTTGATTGGTGGTCTTGTACACAAACCAAATTTCAACTCAATAGCTTTAAATGAATGCTCTCAACCAAGTACATATGTATGTCAAAGTGTGGAAAAGGGTTTTGTGCAATTTTGAAGTCCAAAATCTTTAGATAAAGATGGTCTAATTCCGGAGTGGTTTTAGCTTTTGACTAGTGTTATAGGACAAATTCCAACTTAGTAGTTAAGCCTATTATCAAAGTAAAAATCATCATGGAAAATCCCATACACTTTAATTCTTTACTGACTTACTCAAGTTCTTATTTTGCTTTATTTTTAGGTCTTATTCGTTTTCCCCAAAAAAATCATCCACGTTGGGCATAAATAAAACATCCGAAAGCCCACCAATATTGCGGAAAAATGTTAACAATAATATTAGGAAAATGCGTGAAAATGATTTGGATGGTAGTTATCGAAATCTAAATAGCTTTTGCGAAGAATTTCATAGAAGGTCTTTGCAGCATATTGATACACCAAAAAATGTAACAAATTTTATTCATAGTTTGATTAAAAATTATATTTTAACGAGATTTTTTTGGTATTTTCATGTAGTCTGATTTAAATGTGTTTTTTAATCGAAACAATGATTACCGAAGAACTACTCAGTTTTCTGGATATTCATCGACGAACAAGCTGACAAGGTAACAAGAAAATTAAATATTGACCTCTATATATAAATGAATTATTTATTTTACATAAATATTTTCTTTAATTTAATTATTATAAATTACCCTACTCAACAAAATTGAACTTTTTCATTGCGCTGTGAACAAAAATGACTTTTTCTGATAGATTTCGGGATTTAAAAATTTTTGTAGTACTTTATTTTTTTTATAGTTTAATTTTTTTTTTTTAGTTTTTATAATCTGGTATTTTTTCAGGTATTTTTTTCAGAGGTAGTGCTTCTATTTTTCACATAACTTAAGTATCTTATATAGAACTTTGCAGTTCTAAATCAGCTATAAATGTTGCTGCAGCTTAACGCTTGGAAGATATTAAGTTCCCTTTTAGCTTAGAACGGGTTCCGATTAAATTTTGGTCCTATGGGTTCGAAAAACATTTTTTAATTAAACTACTGTAATTTTATATTAATTATTTAATCAATATTTAAATTCATATATAAGTTCACACTAACAGCATTACATTGATCACTGCGAAGACTCATCAAGACAATGCTATCTCGGGGCTGCTTAGGTGTAGTTTGGGCCCTGCGCGATCAGTCTACCAGCAAAAAAGAGAATAGAAGCAAAGAACTCACTTGCACAAAGTGCAGGTTCGGCTGAGTTTTAAAATAGATTCATTGCTGCAGTTTAGTTTGGTTCGGCTCTGAAGATAGATTGAGGTCAATGGTCCCAACGTAATTATCCAACCCATATTAATAACACTAGTCAACACGACATTTAGGCTGTGGCCCAAAATGACTTTTTCTGATAGATTCCGGGGTTTAAAATTTTTGAACAAATTATGTTTTTTTTATGGTTTAGTTTTTTTTTAAAGAATTTTTTAAAATCTGGTATTTTTTTAATGTTTTTTTTTAGAGGTAGTGCTTTTATTTTTCACATAACTTAAGTATCTTATATAGAACTTTGCAGTTCTGAAAGCTGACAAATGCAGCTATAAATCCGACCCAGACACTTTGTTGCTGCAGCTTAACGCCTGGAAGATATTAAGCTTTGAAATTAAATTGGGAATTGGGATCGCGATCAGGTTCCAAATGTACAACCCCTTTTCGTTTGCTTTGTTCCCAATTGGCAGTTCGGCCCGCAACCTTCCAAAAAGTATTTTTTGTGTCTATTTTTTCATGTTTTAGGTTTGGTTAACGAATTTTAGCTCCACCGTTTATAAATAGATTTTAATGAACAATACCTTAAACGACGCCTAATTTATGCGTCTATCTAAAACTAACGAGAAGGAACGTGCGAGGGACGCTACTCTACTTATACCCGTACTCAGTCAGTATATACATTTTTGAGCTTTTAATTTTTTAGATTTTTTGAACTAAAAAAAAAAATTTTACATTTTACATTTGTTTGCTACATCTGTTATCTGCATCTACATCTACAATGTATATTTTATATCTAACAGGTAGATTATGCATGTACCATTTAGATAAATGCTACTATTTAATAAATTTTGTGCGTCGGTTAGTCGTGTGTTTGTGTTGTTGCTTTTCGTAAGTACGCCCTCTCATTACAATTAGCCGCTCTTTGTCGTAGCTTTTGCCGTCTATCACTCTCTCTCTATCACCTAACTCTCAATAACTGTTCTTTCGCTCTCGCTCTTGTAACTTTTTGTGCAGTAACGCTCTCACTTATAAGCTGTTGCTGCAACCACTCTCCTCTCTCATCTTTTACCGATTTCGCTTTAAGCATTGCTCTAAGCATTTGCTCTGCACAGTGGTCTGATTGCTATTTGTCTTGAACTTTTTTTTCCCAAAGTAAAAATAAATAAAAGACATAAATATGGAATTTTCTGTCGTCTGTGCCAAAAAAACCTGCAAGAAGCAGATCACCCATGACCAGCCCATGCTGCCTTTGCGAAAGGGATCTCGGGCCGTGTAGGAGACGCCATTTCCCAAAACAACGGCCTACATTATAGTTGTGAGGAATGCCGTGCTGTGGAAAACGACATGCGTTCGTTCATGAGGCAGACGCGGAGTGGCTTCAAAGAGCTGATCGTGGACTTCAGACAGCAATATGATCGGCTCTTGGCCATGAACACTCAGTTCAGCAGTTTACAGCTGCTGGATGAGTCTCCGAGGCGCAAGAAGTCTACTCCGCGGGACTTGCAAGTGCCGACTGCCTCATGTCCGCCGGCATCTGAAAAACTTACTCCGACCACTCCCTTAGTGCAGCAGTTGATTACGTTTGCTACTCCAAGGGCAACGATCGCTGCTGGTGATGCAGATTCGGGAGCCGAATGCGTCACTTCGGAGAGTATGCAGTTAGAAATGTCTGTAGAGTCCGTGTCCATCGAGTCCGCACCCAACCCCTTAACTATCCCCTCAGTTTTGCTCCCACCAGCTAATAGATGTCCAGGACCACCGGATACTGGCATCACAGGTACTGGGCCTGTGGTGCCAAAACCACTGGTGGGAGTCCCACCAAAGCGACAAGTTTTTGTCTCGCGGCTAGCCCCAGACCTCACATCCAATGTGTGACCGCTTTTATACAAAGCAAAATAAAAGCCGTCGGCTTAAAGGTGGAAAAATTTAACTTTTCTTAAGCCAGGGAGATATCTTCCTTCAAGATAAGCGTCTCCCCAACTCAATTTGAAACCATTTGTTCCGCCAAGTTTTGGCCAGAGCATTTGGTGGTTAAAGGCTAAGAAAAAGAATAGGCCCCCCATTACTCTTCCTAGCATTCAGACCAGTGCTCCATCTCCATCCTCATCTTCCACCTCTACTTCCACCCATCCAAAAAACTAACTTCCTCTCTTGTAGTTACCTACCAGAATGCTAGAGGCTTGCGTAGTAAGTTCAGCACTCTTTTTCTTGAGAGTCTCGCATTCTCGTCCCATGTTATTGTGTTTACCGAGACCTGGTTAAGGCCGAACATCCTTAGTTCCGAAGTTTTGGCAGGTCGGTACACAATTTTTAGAAATGACCGTTCGTCTCGACGTGGAGGTGGAGTCCTCATTGCAGTAGACTCAAACTTCACGTCGGAACATTTCATGGTCCAGGTTCAACAAGACCTGGAATTCCTGTGCGTAAAACTGATTCTCCCAGGCTTTTCCATTTTCATTACTTGCTCGTATATTCCACCTTCCTCGGATATCTTAATATACGAGCATCACCTGTACGCTTTGAAAACTGTTTCTTCCTCGCTATAAGATAAAGACCATATGATAGTTCTTGGTGATTTCAATTTGCCAGGTACTGTTTGGTCTTCGGTAAACGAGTCTAATAACCTTGTGCCCATGTCACGACATGACTTTTTCGACGGCTTGCTAGACCTATCC